CATTGGTGGAAACGGATATTAAAGATACTAGCTACATATTTTGTCTTGAATAATTAAAATAATAGAAGATTTTTAATTATTCTTGACTTATGTTAGTTCTACCATTCGTTTCTTACGAATGATTATTTTTATCATCACGTGGAAACATAATTTATGCCTCTTTTTTCATCCAGAATATAATCATCAAAAATATACAGCATGTAAATTTGCTTTCACCGTCGCTTCGTGTTGCGTTGAGGGAAAAGGGTAGGCGCGCACTCGACACGCAGCGCAAACATGCAGGGAGGTTGTCTGTCGTCGGACCCCGCGTTCGATCTCGGTGATGAATTATTCAGGGTGTCTTGATCCGGTCGGCCGACCGACAGACGGATTCCGGTTCGCTCGATCGCCGTGATGCTCTGCGATTTTTTCCCGGCCCTTCTCCTTCAGCCGCTCTTACCGGATCTTCCTTCTTGTGAGCGGCCAGATTAAGATCGCAGGGATCGGCTGTCAGCTGCGACGATGTCGATTCATCGGTAATCGTACGACTCCTGGACTCGTCTTGCGCGCCATGTACGGCAGTCGTTGCATCTTCGCTTCTTCATTCATGCACGGTTCCATCATTCCCGATCGATGTCGATCCACTAGGTAGACAAGTAGAGACACTTCGAGTCAGAGCTCCGGTCAAGCTTAACCGCGATGCGTAACCATATTCGCAGTTGCGCTGTTGTAGTAGTTAGACGTTATGTGGACATTGAATGCATTCCAAGATCACTTCAGACATCAGATTTTGAAAATAAAGTCCCGCAAATCCCGAATATGTGGAGTTTCCGATGACTATCTATAATTTTACTTTAAGACAATATTTAATTATATATGAGAAGGAAGAACTTGTTTTTATATCATAAAATTTAGAGAGCAGTCAAAGTCTCATTACAAATGAAGCATTTGATTGATCAGAAGAAAGAATTTTACTAATTGATCAATTAAAATGTGTTTCAAAACATTTGTAGCATTACATTGATCGTATAGAAAAAAATACTAAATTTTAATAAATCATTTATTCGAATAGTGCCAACTAAATATTTATTAAAATATATTTATTCGGTAAAAACATTAATTTGATTTAATAATCATTTGTTTTTATTAAGTGAATATTTACTAGTACGTAAATGTTTAATTGGCACTATTCAAATAAATATTTATTTAAATTTAAGATATTTTTCTCAATGTGTTCTAAGTATTTGTTGTTGCTTGTCTCTTGAAATAATCTCTTTGTCAGCAATATTTGTACTAACTGAGAAGCAATATATAGTTTTTTATTTTAGAAATTTCTACAGTGTTCAAGAATTATATTGAGCCAGTTAATTTATACGTAATATTATTTTATCCTACTTTGAAAAAAATCACATGAGCGTCTTGCAATGAGTAGATAAAACTTTCGCCAAGTCGTAAGAGAGGACGTAAATGGTGCGTTGTACGCGGCGGGTGATGCTGATTCCCGATTATCTTCAAGTTGACGATTTCCACGCTTGTAATTGGCGAGACGAACCTTTCGGCTGTGAAGCCGAGCATGCACAGTAGTCCCGCATGAGGATTAACGTTAACAAAGTCCGCGGCTTTCATCACGGACCGACTTGACTCGCGCGGCTTAAACGAGCCAATTCGTTGCGCTATACACCTGACTTCGTCTACGGGGTGTCCATAAAATTTCTATTTTTTTTCATATTTTTTTAGAAAATACAATATAATGATATACCTACAATATAATTTTTATGTTATTAAATTTCTACTATATTTTGATAAAGATGTAATTAATAATATTAATTACTGTTATATTAATATCTTTTTAGTATAATTCAAAATGTATTAAATATAAAGAGAGATTTAGAAAACAAAATACAGGATTGACGATTTAAAATGTCATTTTTTTTAATATAAAATTTAATTAATTATTACCATTGATTTTTTGCATTACGTTCTTTATTTCCTGTAGGTATAGTATATTTATGGATTTATTCATCAACTGCAATTGTATGGTAGTTCATAAATTTTCACCATTTTCCAATCACTCGTTCGCAAGACTTCCATTATGAACTCGTCGAAATTACATGATTTTCGAAAGCGACGTGAACGCGACGGATAATACTCGATCATGCTGCATCGTGCTCGACGTGGGTGGAAGTTTTTCGGCCGTCAATGCGGATCATCGAGCGCGATCATTTCGCGAACGCGCAACCGAATGACGATCGATCGGCGTGGAATGACGCGCGTCACCTTTTTCGAGGTGCTCGTTGGTCCGTCATCGTTCGTGACGTAGAAACCCGCAGCTGCTTGTCGTCGTTCGTTTATTTGACGAGCTCGACTGAACGAGCGGAGGGAGAAAGAGAATTAACGTTATGGCATTAACCCTTTCGATATCAAACAATGCGATTTATACACGTAATGCACATTATTAAAAGTTATTTCTATACTACTCCTATACTACTATACTTTCACAAAAGGGAAATTATTTGGAAAAATTTCAATGTATAGGAAATTCTGTGAATTTTTAAAAAGCTAACTGAAAAAGTAACTCTTTCAAAACAAGTTTAACTCAAACAAGCTTAACCTTTTGCTACAGCAATGGGTCATTTAGATCCGAAAATATTAGATAATTGATATAACACGATAGGTAGCAACCATGAGGTTCTTTGTAGATAAACAATTTTGTTGGTATAAAAGATCTTTCTCTATTAATCATCATAAGACAAGGGTCCACTTTTGTACTTTAAATAGGACGCTTTAGAATTTAGATGTATAATCTTCGTAACTGTATACTGAAAAAAATATATTAAATTTTAACAAATGTTAGTATCAACTAAATATTTGCTAAACATATATTTATTTGATATATAAGACTCATTAATTTAATATCTCTTTTATCGATAAATATTTATTTATTTAATTAGATAGTAATAGATACTATTTAAACAAATATTTATTAAAACTTAGTAAATTTTTTTCTATATCGGTAATTATAACATTCAGTGAAAAAATAATTCTGAAACACAACGAGGAAAGGAAACACAATATAAATTATAAATTTGTATAAATTATACACCTTTTCTGCTGGCGAATAATGTTTACCATTATCCGTGGACACCCGTTACACATCTACGTTCGTAGGCATCTAAAGGTTGGCGGCTTCCCCTCACGCGCGTCTTTTAAGGTTCTTTTCGCCGCCTAATTGTATCGGGTGTCTTAATCAGCGTGTAAGCTACTAAGGCCACAAGGCTAAAAGTGAACGAGAAAGAGAGGAGAAGGAACCCACCTCCGCATGGTAAGCCACCGTTCTGCATCTCAAAGGCGCAATTTAAAAAGTATGTTAAGTCGCCGCCATTATGCTCGATGTACTTATCCATCTTGAGATCCCGTCAGACATGAATTTAGATTATGGCTCGGTATTGTGCGCCTCTTTCCCTTCTCTCTTTTATAAAATTCGAATAGAACCTGGAAGCTACTCTTAGCACATCTCACTCTTTCGAAAGACAAAGAACAGTTTTTTGCTCAAGCCTGCCATAAAACCAGAATAATGTTGAACAAATTTGTTAAGGTCTTTAATTTATTTATTTTTTCCGAAGAATTGGCTTTTTTGCTTATATACTATTATGAATATCTGTATTATAAAATTCTGTATTATAAAAAATTACGTAAATAGAATTTCTGTTAGCTGATTGTGTATTTATTATAACTTAAATTGAAAATAATTTTTTCACAACATTCTTGTAATCAGGATTTAATTTATTGTTGAAAACTTTAATTTTTTTTTTTTCATGTAAATCTTTTTTCTTTTTCATACTCATATATAATTTCTATGATAAAAAATTCTAACGTTTAATTTTGAAATATATTTGAAATTAAAATCTAATGAAATTTTTTATTATCTGATATTCAAATATCGATTCATCGGAATATGAATTTCGATAGGCAGAGAAGAAGGGACAGAAATGTATAGGCGATCACACGGGGAGTTAAAGGGGGTTGTCGACGGTCGACAGGTCGGCACGTGCTGAATGTACACTAAAAAGCAATAAACTCCTTCGGGAACTTATCTCGTAATGACAACGCGTAATATCTACATGGGATCATAATAAAGCCTCCGGAGGCAAAACGACGAGGGCCTTTGAGGGCATATTGGTGCTCCACCTTTTGATCCTGCTCGCTAATTCGCTTCGTATATTTAGGGATGTACGAGTCGCACGAGTATGACGCGTAATTGAATCGAGCAAGCGGAAAGTTTTATGAACCTTTTGAGAACTTAGTGATAGAACTTAGATTGATAATTGAAAACTATGGATTTCAAAACATTAAATTTAAAAAGTATATTTGATAGAGAATTATTATAAATATTATTATAAATATTAATTAATTGATGTATTAGTAATTTCATGAAGATTTAATTAATTATTCTATCGGCTTAAATAACTAATTACGTTCGCAAATTAATGCATGACATGATAACATCTTTTACTAAAGACGTAAATGCGAAATAATTTTTATTTTCTCTCAATTGTGTTTTTCAATTATCTCTTCCAACCTTTTCTATTTTTATTAATATTTTAAAATTTAATGTACTCATTTTTTCATCTTATTGCACGACTTTTTCTATACGTAGTACGTACTTAGTTTTATTATTCATTGATTATTATTAATTTTATTACTAAATCATGTGTCACACAACAAATAACAATAATTTAATTATATATTTTGGTCTTAAATATTCATTGGATATATATTGGGGAAATCTCATTAAAGACTCCATTAATTGAAAATGATAATATCCGAACGAAGGACTTCTCGGAACTTTCAGGTTTCAAGAAAAGATCTATTTATTCCACCGTCAATCGCGGTGCCTACCTGAAAGTGTTGTCGGGTATCTTCCGCTGTGCATGATAAACTCTTGTTAATTGATAATTTTGTGTCTGCTTATCTTAATAAGATGACGATGACTGATGCCACTGTTATATGGGTGATTTTAGTGGGGCCTGTGTTCGGGGGCCGATGCGGCGCGGAGGCGCTCGGTCTGGGGCTGGGGCTGTCGCCGGGCCCGGCCTACAGGTTCGCTCTGCCCCCGGGACTCGCTGCCAAGACCACCCGCTGCCTTGTATTCGACCAAGGTAGGCCTACCAGCCATCTTCATTGCCGCGGCAGTCATATCTTTGACCCTTTCGTGTTTGTATTTGTTTGGATTCTTTTCCCATTGAGAGAAAGGATTTTGTTAATCCAACCACCAGTACTTTTAACCAGTGATCCGTAAATATGTGACAACAAATTTTGTTGTTGTGTTTGCTGTTAGTCTACTATACCAATTATCACAGAACAACAGAAGCGAATTATATAGAATCTAACCTATCTTTTAAATAGACTTTAGGCTCGTTTACATAGAACTCGTAGATGATCGTGGAATCTTAAGTCGTAGAAAACTGATCAAGCACAGTCAAATGTAGGGAGACTACTTGATTAGAATTGGTCAATTTCTTATCATTTGGGATCCTGCAATCGTTTATGATTTTTATTTATATATATATATA